TTGGTTTTATTGTTTTGCGTACTTTGTTGCTTTTTTGGAGGAACGATCCGAGATATCAGAAGCTATGCATAGAATATGACTTCGTATTAAAATATCGACTAAGAGTGAAATGTAGCTGCCGTCATGCCACAAACACTGATATATGATTTGTTACGATCGGACCTATAATTATGACGTAGTATAAAAAACAATAAGGGTGTTGCAAAAAAGTAATTATTATATTTTTGGAAATGTTATTAATATAACTTTAATCCTAGGGGGGTGACTGACTCAACTTTTTCTTGTCCATAGAGACCGACCCACTCTAATACATATCCTTTTTTCAACCTAACCTAAATACTTTAAGAAATTTTTACTATAAACATGCATGTATTGTTTAATTTTCCCCCCTTATTCTATTCAGTTAAACAAAAAAATAATTACACAATTTGAACATGATACCAAACAAATTTAAATTAATATACGTCAGAGTCTTGAGGTATTTAATAGTAAAAATTACTAGTTTCCATTACAGGCCACAGCAATACAAAGTGTTAAATGAAGAAAACACATCAACCACAATTCTTTATACATACATAGCAACAGCAGCAACAATAACAAGAAAATGCAATAACTGTTTTGTGATGGAATGAATTAACGCCTTTAGGTGATGATGACTTGGCACAATGCTATAGATGAAGATGAAGACGTTATCTGGAAATGATGCCCGTGTTAATTTCGTATGTATATATGTATGTACAATTACGACTGTAGTTTAGGAATCATAGCCAGGATTGAATATTTGTTGGTGTGACTCCACACAATAAATATGTGGAATGCGTATATGTTTGACAGAGCTTTAAAGGCATTCATTCAACGTTTTTCTTAAATTTGATGAAATTACTTTTTATGTTTGTTAGCCAAGAAATTTTTATTTGATCTGATTTATTTTATCAACAATAACCAAATTAAAATCAGAGCACTTCGGCTTCTTAGAAAGGTCGAACTTCGCTTAAATAATCTATATATATAAAAGAGTAACGTTACTGACTGACTGATTCATCATCGCACAGCCCAAACGGCTGAACCTAAAATCATGAAATTTTGACAGTAGATGTGCTTTTGGTTATGTAGATCCACTAAGGAGGGATTTTTGGAAATTTGTACATTTACGGGGAAAAAGGGGGAAAAATGGGTTTTTTTAATTATCTTACACAATATTAGTGATACAAGAAAAATTTTAAATGCACCCGTATCTACTCTTAAAATGAGCAGATGGGTGTCTGACACTTTTTTGAAATTCGTACTTTTAAGGGGTAAAATTGTGTAACAAAAGTGATTTTGGTACCTTTTTTGGCCCTTTATAACTTTTGAAATAATTAACATAATTAAATTTTTATAAATATTTTGGATACATCTCCCAAAATTATGAGACACCTGTTTCGTACTTTTTTAAAATTCAGTCCTTTTGGGTGTAAAAGGGAGAAAACTGTATTTATGGTACTTTTTTTTAGCACATTAAGAAAACTTTTTCGGTTTATTGAATTATTTTTATTAAATTACGGACTAACTCTGTAATATTTATTGTAATAAAATTTTTGCTATTTCACTGGGGAAAAAAGGACCAAAATAGAAAAAACGGGAAATTTAATTTTATTCAAACTCATTGAGCCAATTTTTATAAAATTTCAAAAAGTAGTTTATTTACTCACATAAAATAAGCTATGGTATATTATTTTGGAATTCGAGTACTAAGGCCTATATAGGACCAAATTCGAGTAAATTGTTTGGTACCTTTTTGAAAGCACAATTTTTCTGGAACAAATGAATGCGGATTTGAATTGTTTGAGTTTTATCTGTGATATATAGATTTAAATACGGAACATTTTGTGAACTTAATTCTCGAAAAAGTATATTTCTAAGCGAAAAGGGGAACCATTGTACTCTTTTTATTAGTACTTTCCTCTTAGGTAAAATTTATTCCACTTTTGGTACTTTTTCTTCCTTCATATGATACTCTATGTATGTTCTTTAATATGAACTCAAAACACATGATTATTTAACATACACGGTCCTCGTTGCATAAGATTCTTTAAGAGAGAACTTTTTATCTCATAAATGGTACTTTTTTAATTTTCTAAAATATTCAACATTAAGGAACATTAATTTTAACATACATGGTCTTGACTGAATAATATTCTGTAAGTCGAACTATTTGGTACTTTTCTATTCTTCAAATGGTACCTTTTAGATTCATTATAATGGTTAACCGGAACACACGGTCCTTCTTAAATGAGAATTTATTGAGAGAGATTTTTGTACTTTTTCGTTTTTCCGATGGTATTTTTTGATATTTTTACGATATTGAACATAGATATTGAAAATAAATTTTAAAATGTAGGAACCTTAGTGAATGAGAATCTACTGAACGGGACTTTTGGTACTTTTTCATTCATTAAAATTATATTTTTTGAAATGTATATAATATTGAACACAGAAAGATAAAATGTTTGATTAAATGATAATCTATTAGAGGTATTTTAGAGTACTTTTTTTCAAATAGTACTTTCGAAATTTTTTATAATGTGGAAGCTAAATGAATGAAACTAAAAATATAAGCTTCTTACTGAATGCAAATTTAATCACGTGATATTGAACGTATAGAACTGAAACATTAAAAAAATGTTCAATCAATTTTAATTTTCTATAAAAGTAAACAAAATTTTGTACATATTTAATTTAAGTTAGGGTAGCGAAGCACCCTGGGTATGCTAGTATATCATACGAAAGAGCAACTTTTTGGGTTTCAAATGAGGTATGAGGTTTTAACGTTTTACAATTTTGACTTTGGTCATGCACAGACCACTTTCCGAATGAATGACAAAAAGTAGCTGGGAAATGTATTCTACCATGATCTATGAAAGATCATATACTTTAATACTTCTGATACTTGTTACTAATCTGTTTTAAAGAATATTTTTCTTCGTTCATATTTTCTTGCATTTCTTTTAATTTTGTTTAAACATTTAATGTGTTTGGTGCGCGTTTGTTACGGCGCGTTAAGAACTGAAGGCGCGAAATTAATGAATCATTCACACCTGCATGACGGATTGCATGTATTCATTTGTGGTTTAAAACTTTAAAATAATATAGACGTTCCACATACTATATGCTTGGTGCCATACTACTCACTACAACAAATACAAGAGCAAGAGAAAACAACTGAAAGTGATTGCAAGCGATTTTATTTACGTACGACTCTAAACCGGCCAAAAAATGTTTTGAGCTCATACATGAAAACACTAATTCGTCCAACGAATTTAATGGCTGCGCCCGTGTGTGCTTGTGAAGGAGTTTCCTTAACAATTTATTTACTTGAAGTGTGTACGAGTGTTATGAGAGAACTATTTTCGTTGTTTTTTTTTTTTTCTTTTCAATTTAATTTCATTTTAACTATAGACAAACAACTTGTTTTTTTGGCCAAGTTAATTAAGATGTTTCAATGCTTTTATAGTATTTACTTTAACACATTTTACATATTTGGTTTATTAATAAATTACTTCCAGTTTCGATACGGCTATGGAAAATTATTCCATTTGCAACGATACATTCATTTCGTCGCATTAAAATAAGGTAAGGCTGAAAGGAACATATATACTACATAATATCTCCTACCAAAAGCATCAATATGAACTATGGTTTAACTTCAGGAGAGCAACGGCAGATTGTCCACCACCGTAGGTAATCTTGCATTCCCCGCGAAGCTACTCTCCGACATTAAGCAACCTCAGCCTTGAAATATATGTAGGTAAAGGTTATAATGACCGCCATACCAAATCCCAAAAAGAAAGAAGAGCGAATGGAGAAGGAGGATAGCTACTTACAACCAAAAAAACGGATTTCTGGAGCACATAGTAGTAAGATGAAGAAAATGCTTTAGGACACTCCCTCAATATCTAAAGCAAAGAGGATTTGTCATACTACATAATATCTGAAGAAATACAAGTCGCTATAGGTGCCGATAATTAAGGTGGATTGCCAGTCTCCTACCAAAAGTATCAATATGAACTATTGTTTAACTTCAGGAGAGCAATGGCAGATTGTCCACCACCGTAGGTAATCTTGCATTCCCCGCGAAGCTACTCTCCGACCTTAAGCAACCTCAGCCTTTAAATATAGGTAAAGCTTATGATCATGAATCCTCAGATGATAATGACCAGCATACCAAATCCCAAAAAGCAAAGAAGAGCGAATGGAGAAGGAGGATAGATACTTACAACCAAAAAACAGATTTCTGGAGCACATGGTAGTAAGATGAAGAAGATGTTCAATATCTAAAGCAAAGAGGATTTGTCAATGTTTTGCATAGACCTTAACGGTCTAAGCACACGGTGCTCTAAACTCCGATTTCAAGTCATGCATTTGGACATGATTTGATTTGGGACGGATACTATATAAATTCCTATGGATTTCCGAACTCGGCAATGCAACATCACATTTAGCTTCGACCTCCCCATGATTTTGGTTTAATCATCATCCAGGCTGAAAACCAGTTTCCGGTAGGACTTTGTAGTTAAATAAACTAATACACATTGCTGTAAACAACAATGCAATGCCTTCCGTCAATGCTAAGGCGGATGCGACGCCAATGCGTTCAGATAAGAATGCAGTTACAGTCTACAGGAAATATCAGTATCACAACAAGATTGTTCCCTTCTTATAAAGAAACTGGGCCTTCCATTCGCTGCAGTATACTGGATTAAAGTTTAAGTTCTGTTAAGTTTAAAGTTTGTTTAAGGCATTTTTCATCGTTCACTTTCTGTCGATCACCCATTACTCTGACATTTACTTCACTCAGTGTAATTTTAAAAAAACTTGGACCAAATATGTAAATCATTTGACTTAATAAAAAAAATCTATATTAGTCGTAAATTATTTTATAATCTTTTATGTACAACTAATTTATTCCAATTACAATAAATATTTTGTAAACTTATTCTACTGATTAAATAAAAATACTTTCATGTTTTGCTATTTAATAGGGATTCTATACTAAATGAATTCAGACGTTTTATATGTTTATTGTTCTCAATTTTCACATGTTCATTTATATCATTTTTAAATAGAAAATTTTTACAGGACACCAACGGCTTTACTTTCAGCTCACATAACTCGTTTTTGTTATCAATTAAATTGAGAGTTTTCTCTTCACTAGAACCTATAGAATTACTGCAATCAGTTGAAAAATTGCTATTAACAGTGTTCTCAGTACCGCCCACAACATCAATTTGGATATCTTCATTGTCATCACTTTCTGAATCTGTTGCACTTTGAGCATTTATACCATGCTGAGCTAAGTAGTCTGATTTCAATTGCTCCCAGTTGACATCGATTCCTTTAGAATGTAGTTTCCTCGCTTGTCTTTCTATGGCTTTGTCAATTCGCTTGAGTTTTTGTACTCTTTTGAATAAAAATATTAATTATTACTATAAATATTTTAATAAAATACTTAGTTTCTAAGAGATAATTACCTTAATTTGTGTTTTAATTCTTTTAATGGTATGGGATCACCCGAACAAGTCTGAGGATGAGCATTATGTGCAGGTCTTCCTGGTCCTTTTTTGGTGTTTTCTTTTTTACGCCATTTAGCTCTTCGATTTTGAAACCACACCTATAAGAAAATGCAATATAACAGATTAAGGCCATCAACAAGGATAAAGAAATCAGAATTGATCGTTCAATTTCTGATGTGCTCTACTTTGGGGACTTCTAACACCTTCAATTTTCTTGTTATGCCATATCAAGTTTTATGATGACCTAGAATTAGTTAGTAATAGTCATTTTATTCTTACTTTCCTCTGCTCCACACGATATTGATTGAATCGATTTAATAATTCTTTTAAACATTATTTGTTTAACTTTGCTGATAAAAAAATATGTGTAAATTATTTGAAATTAATATGCAGATTTCTACTGCTAATGACATTGTCAACACTCAATAACTACTTTGGAAAATGACTAACTAAAAAATGTTTACTTGGTAATTGGTTTAATAGGTGTTATTACACATTCACCAGGGACAAAAGTAGACATTAGGGGGCTACAAGCTTGTATGAATAAAACAAATTTTGTTCTGACAAGCCGCTCCTCTCTCTAGAATTGTTCCATGGGTTGTTAAACTAAAGCATGCAAAGAATTTAGTAATTCGGATAACCTTAACAGGCGTCGCTTTGACATTTAGATACATATATGCTACATCAAATCCGAAGAAATGCTAGGTGAAGGCCTTAGGCCACTATCGGGCATGTTCTGCGCACTTTTCATGGAAAATACATATTTGTTGATAAAAACAAAAACATCTTATATAGTATTCCACTGAACTTATCGTTCCTGGCCTGCTACCTTTATGATATAAATTTTATCATCTGTCATTGCCCCTATTTTCTTTCTGTCGGTAAATATGTTGCCGCCATATTTATTCTACTCCAATTTACGCATTCCGTTATTACCTGTAAGTTAGTGTTGTGATTAGGTAAACGGTGGTATATTTCTGTTTCTTGGTCTTCTATATAGAATACCAGTCCCCCTATTCCCCCAAATCCCTTCATCCGTGTAGCAATGGATTTCTACCTGTATTAGCTCTAATGTTCCGCTTGATCATAACAATCTGTCTGGGATCAGAGTTTCAAAGTTTGTGATCGGGCATTGACGATGACATGTCCTATAACCGTCTTTGGCCAGTTCGTCTAAAGTTATAGGCCGTTCGGCTGTAAGTTCTGCCTCATATATATTACATATGTTTCAATAGTCGAATATCTAGCAACGTTTACAAAGCCTTGATTGACGTACGCTGAACTCCCTATATTAGTTTGATATTACGCTTTTTGTCCAAAGAAGTAATTTTATAAAGCCAATGCGTCATAGTAGGACTAAGATGCCATTTCGTGCCTATGGTTCTCCTACATAGTGTCCAGCACCGATGTGCCTTCTTGATTCTATCCTGTATGTAGAGTATATTTAGCAATTTTTGACAGATTTCAGTCTTCGTCGAGTTAAGGCCAGGCCAAGGCCGTATACAGGGCCTCTTTAGTCCTTCTACAGACGTAACTTTGATCCTTTCTCCTTAGAAGTATACGCCCATTTCGTGCCTATGGTTCTCCTACATAGCGCCCAACATCGATGTGCCTTGTTGATTCTATCCTCTAGTAGTGTCTATTTAGCAATGTTTGTCTTTCTTGGGAAAAGACAGATTTCTGTCTTCGTCGAGTTAATGTCAGGTCAAGGCCGTATACAGAGCCTCTTCAGCCCTTATATACAAGTAATTTGAATCATTTCCCCTTAGAAGTGTCTAAATCCTTTCTCGTTTAGGGTTCTTAGGTGGCTGTTAATCATGGTTACCCAGAGTAAAGGGGGCAAAATGCTACCCTGTGGTGTACCGCGAAATACACTTTTTCTGTAAGTTATATCGTATGTCTCGCAGTTTATCCATCTGTTCCTTAGCATGCAGTCGATCCAATTACGGAGCACAAAAATACTAGTCTAAGGATTGAATAAGAGTATCAGTGTGCATATTATTGAAGGCGCGTTCGATGTCAATGGATACCGCCAGCGTATACAGTTTGCTATCGAACGATTCTCCTAATAATATACAATTTAATTTAATGTGGTTTCCACCAATCGACCCTTTACATAAGCATGCTATTTGTATTTGAGGTTTTCGTCAGGAATTCTGCTTTTAGTTATGCTGCTCCAAGGTTTTAAGTAGGAAGGACTAAATATTACCCTTGCCGTCTCCATTGGTAAAAGTGCCGGAAAAATAGCATTCGGTCCTGAAGCCGTATATGGTGCAAAACTTTTAATTGCAAGTTTGGAGCACTCTAATGAATTTTTATACTCTTCTAAGGGATTACAATGCTCAAAGACCTATGGATCCTTCACTAATAGCCATTTTGGCCTCCGGTAGGTTAGTGGTTAGTTTTCTAGTCTGGTAGATCAGAGGTGGTGGGTTCGATTGCCACCTGAGGCACTAGTTAAGGAGCGCACAACAGGCTCGATAGAGGCCTACGTTTATTTATTCGGATTTAATGTATATACATCCTCCTTTCAAACTAACAAACTAACTAATAGCCATTTTAAAATAATTTGGAAAAATGGCCCCATAATTATCCCAGATATGATAATAAACGGATTTTTCCAATAAATATGAATAATCCAATATAGAGCTATAAATTTGGTTTAGAAATTTGACTCAAAGTAGTCACATAAATAGATTGATTCCTATCCCCTACTTCGTTCAACGTTTAAACAATTCTTATTGATTAAAACACACGTTGTATGTCCAATTACAAGAATATTATTTCTCAATTTTTTTTCTGTTTTCTGTTTTTTATTTTAATACGAGTTTAATGTATTAAATTGTGAATTATTAATAATGATAATGATTAAATAATAACTATAAATTTCATGTTGAATGATTATTTTAAATCGAGCAATTTGTCACAAACTGTTTTTAGTTTTTAATAATACGGTTCCATTCAATATCACTTGAACAATGTGTGTGTTTGTGTGTATGTATGTATGTATCTACGGCTAGAAAAATTGTAAATTTGTTTAACTACATAAATATTAAATACAATATTGTTTGCCATACTAACAAAAAAAATATGTAAGTATATACAACTAAAATTATAATAATAAATATGTGCATTCAATTACTGCATTAAGTTGCAATGTGCTGTTAAAGGGATTTGCAAAAAATTGTGTTTTATTTTAATAGAATTTTTGGTTGGTTTTAGTTCAAAGATTTTTTTTCTCAAAATTAAAGGGCTTATTGTTAAGATTGATTGTTTTTAGATTGACTGTATATATAACATTAATTATTTAAACACCCCATTGTTTACATATAACGTGCATATAACTAAGTAAATCAGGGGTTAACAGACCCTGCAATTTGGGTGGCTGCTTTACTAGAGATGTCTAACCTATGTATGTAAATGTACGTTTTAAAGTCACCCACTTAGGTATATAACAAACTCGAACATACCCGAGGCGCACAAAAACGAATCTATCATAAGAATATCGATATATCCGATTTACAGTACTCTGACATCACAGCTACTACTTATTTTAATATCATTCGCGTGAACCTCATCAATTCAAACGTCCTGCTACTGAATCAGAATTTATGTATATCGAACAAGTGTTCAACAATACTATATGGCCTGAACACACCCGTAAAATTCCCACTGAATAAGTCATTTGCATTAAAGGAAAGGAATTTCTCCTAATTCCCCTTTCTGCAGGTGAACAGTTTGTTGGCAGTCTATTGACTGGTACCCAAAACAGTTAAAAGTTTGAATGATTCGCCATTTCATTAAAAGACGTCCGACATGCATGAAGTAATGTTTGATATCTTGCTAATTATATAGACAAATGATGCTATATTGGTCGTCTTAGTCTGAAACAATCTTCTCATTGTATATTATGACTATAGGTTAGGTTAATAGTCCATTAAACCTAGATCAATCTAGATCACTATCGTGTCTGTTGTCTGCTCCTTTTTATGGAAAGTATTTGTTGTTAAAAACAAAAACCTTATATAGTGATCAATCGTCCGATATTCAAAAACCCACTTTCCTGGACGTTATTCCTAAAAATTTTCCAATCAGTTTTTGTGAGGAATATTATGTCGTAAATAATATTACTCCCAAGATATTTGTATCAAATTTCGACGAAAGCCTGACAATGGCAGAGATTCAGATGAAGCTCTACATTCATTCTGAATCAGCATGACCAGTTTTGTCTAGTTGTGCCTGTAAGCCTGTGTCTCCACTCAAAATACGTACCTTCATACTAACCTCAGACATGCTTATTTTGAGGAGGCTCTCGTTGAAATCACCCTATAGGTTCTTAGTGGTTGTTTTTGGGATTCTTTCGGCCATATTTTAAATTCGGCCCTCCTTTCGTCAAATGGTTTTGCGTTTGTCAAATTAAATACCTCGAACTTACTTCCCTTGAAAGCAATTAAATTCGCTCTTTCGTAGCCGAGTAGGTACTCCCGAGTGCACCGGCACCCATATGATTTAACTTTATCACCTGATATCCCACCTCCTGGCTGTGGGTAAATATGTTAAACCTATTGGCGCCATATTTATTCTAATCCAATTTACGCATTCCGTTATTATTCGGACTTCTGCCTGGAAGTTAGTATTGTGACTAGGTAAACTGTAATTTATTTCTGTTTCTGGATCTTCAATAGAGTACCCAATTTAGAGCCATCCGTATTACAACGAATTCCTGTGGTTATTTGCTCCAATTTTCTGCTTGAACATGACATTCTATTTGGAATCAGTGTTTCAAAGTTTCCGACATATTCTGTGACTGGTATGCGTTGGGACACATCTGATGTTTGTGTATAACCTTCCAATATGCCAAATATACATTGATGATGTATCCTATAACCGCATTTGGTCAGTTCGCCTAAAGTTAAAAGCCGGTCGGCTGTAAATGCTGTCACATATCTTATATACGTTTCAATGTGTGGATGTAATGCTAATGGCACCAATTATACCCAAGCAGCAGATATGTGGAACTCCCTGTTTGATGTTACAAATTTGTCCAAAGAACTCTGCCAGATTATTGAAGCATACGTTAGCATTTGTCTAATCACTTTTTTATAAAGCCAATGTGTCATAGTATGACTAAGGGCACAGCGAGGCTTAACTCATCCGGAAGTTGGAAATCTAGAACATATGGACACGCTAAGATTTTAAGCCAATTACTTCCAATCTTGAACTAACCATCCGATTATATTACCCCACACACGAATTTTGATAGAGTTTTCAAAGTCAGAGTTCCTTCTAGGAGCGAGTGGTGTAGGGGTAACCTACAGAGCGAATATACAACCAGAATCTTTATAGATGGTTCTATAATGAACTTTGGTGTTGTTTCTGGTGTCTTCAATGAAGAAGCTGGGGTAAGTATATCTCACCGTTTTCCCAACAACTGTAGTGTCTTTCAGGCTGAAATATTCGCGATAATGTTTAAGCTTAATGATATCCTGAGATTTCTCACTGCTACAGGCTGGATCTAATACTATGCAATACTACATCTGACGAGTAGAGTGGTCCGGTCAAAACGGAGTCTCTTCGACTCTACTTGAATGTTCGCGCGCGGTGAACTACCACGTTAACCAACCGGCCAACTAAGGCCCCATTTCTTGCCTATGGTTCTTCTCGTGGCAATATGCAAATTTGGACTGACAAAATCTTAGTACACCGATCTTAATATATGAGAAAGTATACTACAGAGTGCTATATTATACTATATATTCAGTAGCTGATCCTGTCATGGGGAACTGTTGGGTAGCAGCTTTTTTGTGAATCTATTTAATGTACATGTAAATCAGTGATGCCAAGTGTAGGGATTTTTCCCTTTTTGTAGGGATTTTTTTCAAAAATTTCATGTGTAGGGAAAAAGGGAAAGATTTCTTACTATTGTCAAATTGTAGGGATTTTTCAATTTCATAGTTTTTAACAACTAAAAATATACACTTTCATGTATTAAAAAAATGAATTTAATCCCAGGAAAAACTTACATTGAAAAGTAATGAGTTAAATAGCTAATAAAACCTCTTTTCACTACTTCTTCATTAGCATTTTAAGTCATTATTTTAACACGGTGATGTCATTGGAGGCAAGTAATTCTACGCACGCTTACAAATAGGGACTTAAAGAAGTACTTGCAATTTCCCTTACAAAACAGTTGTTGAGTAAGTTGTTTTGTTTTTTAATAATAAAAAGAGCCAGCTAGAATACGAACCAGGGGCTTCGGTTTGTTAGTCAAATGTTCTACACACTGCACCACTGCTTAGCTATTTTATTGCGCGTCAAATAATGGTTTTCACAAACAAAACTAATTTTGTTTTATTTTTTTAAAACACAATTCTTAAAACGCAATTAAATAAAATGTGCAAACAAAATGACAAAGCCGAAAATAAAGTACTTCTATATCAGATTATAAGAAATTCATTACTAGAGTACTTCTATGTAATGCAGACGGTAAGTAGTAGTCATTGAAAAGTAAGTGGTTATGGAAGTACAACCCATTACCGAGTTTATGCTGGGATGTTCTGAAAATTTATAAAAGTAAACCGCGAAAAGTAAACGCAAAAGTAAACCTTATTTAAAATAATTATTTTATGAAAATTTTTTTGTTGGAGGCACATAAAATAAATTTTTATCACGATTCGATATACTGCCATAAATCTTTCAATTGTTTTTTTTTAATCTTAACTGAAGAGTCAGGGTTGGAAGATTTGTATGATGTAAAATTGAAAGAAAAAAAAAATTAAAATTTAAATTCTAGAAATTTCATTCCTAAAAATTAAAAAAAATACATACCATATATGTATATTGTAAAACGGAGCTAATATTTTAGTTTTTGATGTTATTTTTGTAATTTTTTAAGATAAACTTTGAAAAAAATGGAAAAAAGTAGTGTAGGGAAAAATGTAGGGAAAATAAAAAGTGGGTGTAGGGAAAAAAGGGATTTTTTCTCATAAGCGTAGGGATTTCTGAAAAAAATCTCCTGGCATCACTGATGTAAATATACCTCTAACCAAAACTACTTCATTCGGCATATCCACACATAATACGAGCATTGTAGCAACTCGTATTGTATTGTTAATTTGATAGAAATTCATATTCATTTTGACAATAATGGCGCTCACAGTGGATCTTAAATGATTTTGTTCAGTACAATGAATTTGAATGAGTTTAACAAGTATTTTATGAATTTAGTTAGTTTGAATTTTATACACTGAAACATGTTTGTGTGTATGTATGTATTTGAATAAATGTATGTATGTGTGTGGAAACATACTCGTATAATGACTAAATTCAATATTAAATAGTTTTATAGTAATTTCCATTTAATTTCAATACATTGAAAATTGTTTTTCTAGCTGAAGTCATGCAATTTTTAGACCAACTAGACAAATTTTATTTAATAAAATTTACTTTATTTTAGTGGTTTGTGCAGGAAGTTATGAGTTGGAAACTTATGTATATACTAAACTAGTTATTTAACCTAAAACTTTGGGCCTCCCGATCATTTAGAATATTAGTTATTTAAACATAGGCATATCCTAGGAGGAAATCAAATTACTCTTTCAAGACACGAATGTCGAGTGCTTAACGTGAACACCTGCCTTGACGGCCTTATTTCACGGTGGTCTTTTTCATATAATGGGTAGACTAGAGACGGTCTACCACGCACTCCTGAATCCTTCTATAAAAAATTCAGGTGGCAATTTTTGTACATGACTGAGCCGGTCCATGTACAACAAGCACTTTGCTGAAGAACTCAAGCTATCCCCGTTGCGTAATGATAGGCAGCTGTCATTTAAAGTCATAGAAGGGTCGACTACCCCAACATGATGTCATAAAAGATTGCATTATTTCAAATGCAATCCCCATCAACTAATGACCCATTCCAGTGGATTCCTTAACCTCTTAAAGCCCGCGCAACCCCACTACTGAGCTGACTCTATTGATTTGGCAACAGCACCTAGAGATGTATTTGGTAGTCAATAAATCAGGATCCCTCTGTATGTCAGATAATATGACAAAGGATGTAGAAATTTCCAAAGTTAATTCGAACCCAATAATTGCCCCGACAAGTTGAGGGAACGCATCTCAACCATAAGTCGCGTAGCATGAAACAATATGAATCCTGTTGAGATGGCAACAGCACCGAAAACTTCCCTGAAGTAAAAGGTCTACTAAATCAGTACTAGTCTCCTTTCAGACAGAGGAGTTTTTCCCGATCGTTCACCAATTACATCAGTTCCATTCTCAGACCATAAAGAACGATCTACAGAATGACAGGCTACTACCAAGTGTCAACCTGAAAATTCCCCAACATATACTGGCGCCCTACTACGCGAAGAGTAAAAAATACTCAACGGGTTCAGGATTCCAGCATAAGTTGCTCCGTCATATCACCCAGTGACATCTGTTGAGATGGCAACAGAGAGAATCCAGACATATTTGGCATTTGGCAGTCCTTAAACTAACATTCACTCCCCGCGAATTTGGGTATAAACCACAGACATTAAGTGGATCCCGAAGAGTTCTGAGGGCAGCCGGTCACCCGTAGTGCCAGATTATATGGTACTCTGGTTAGACCCCATGTCAAATCATTCCAAGGAAAGGCCGAGGATACATTTGATCATCGCCAGCTTATAGTCCCGGCCGACTAGAGGTATTGGTAGCACCTCTATACCCCGGGATTGCAAAAAACCAAGATGTAGTTTTTCATCAAGGAAACATGCCCCGGGGGGAACTTTTGGAGACTGTAAACATACATTCACTTATACTTCAAATACGAGAACAAGATGTTATAGCAACTGCAACAAGCTCCATATTCCAAAAAAAAAAAAACTTTTAACAAAATCTTAAAATTTTACAAACAACCCATGTAGTTTTCTTTTCAACCCTTTTTTGTAGACATTCCTTTAAATTTTCCTATCATAGAAATTGATGTATCATGCCAAGAAACAATTTAAGCTTAAATGTCATTTCTACCCGTAATCACAATCGACATGAACTTGTCGATGATTGTAGGAATAAAAAAAATAAAGAAAAACAACAAAAAATCGAAAATAGCAAACGTCAAGTGATGATGAACATACTCGTAACCTGCATGTGGTGGTGGCATGAACAATCAGACACACAAACAGTTGGTTGCACTTTGCTCATTTTTTTTTCTGTGATGTGGAGCAATTGAAATTATTTAATTTGTGCAACATTAATGGAATAAATGTAATGGCAGATAATAATGTTGTAATGATGCAAGAGAATGGTATAATTGGATTACAGACAATTGAAATGTAATTTTTTGTTTAAATTTTATTACAATTTATGACATGTTGCCGGTAAAAAGAAGGGGTTTAGACATCTATACATTCTATTATTACAAATTTACAAAACTATATGAATACGGTTAATTGGCGAATAAGAAATAACTTATTATTTGTAATATTAATGAAATATTTTCATATTTACCGCTAAACGACTCTCCTTGAGATTCAAACGTAATGCTAGAGCCTCACGTATATAAACATCTGGATAATGATTTGTTAAAAAAGTTCTCTCCAGTTCGTCTAGTTGCCATGAGTTGAAATTTGTACGGTTTCGTCTTCGTTTAGAACTGTTGCTTTCGTTGTCTTCATCATAATCATCTTCATTGCAAAGGGATTCTGAAAGGAAAAACAAATATTATAAATAAAATTTTTTGCTTTGAAAATTCTTCTTAAATTACTGAAAGAAAAATTCTTTTAATCATAGAAACATTTTTAAAAATTGCTCGAATCTTTTGTAAAGAGGAAACTTTATCCTTAGAGAATAAAATTGAAAACTTTATAAATAACTATAAAAATTGTACAAAATCATAGACTAAGGCCCGTTTTCTTAATGTGTCTGCTAGTAAATGTCGACATAAACCGTCCGTTAACAATTTTGGTTTTCTCAATATACATTATTTTCATTTGGCAATACTTCTCAAAATTGTTGTGAAAGTTGCGAACTCTGTCTTCAAGTGACAAGATGTTGACATAAATCAACTGTTTTCTAAATGTGAAAACAAAATAACAGAAAATAAAATCAAGAAAACAAATATTTTAAAAACCAAATAAAATCTTAAAAGATGACGGATAAAAAGCAACGTGGGAAAAATGTTACTCCTGAAGAGGAACTGCTGCTTTTAGATTTGGTTATAAGTCAAAAACATATATTGAAGAACAAAAAATCGGACGCAGTCAATTGGAAAATAAAAAATGAAACGTGGATGAAGTGGAAAGAATCCTTTAAGAGCCAGAATGGAATACACTGTCCCTGGAAAACATTAAGGGACAAATACGATAATATGAAACCGAAATCCAAAATGGAGCTGGCCACTGGATAATACAGTTGGTATTGGAATTATTTTGAAAGAAAACTATTCTTTCCGTCGAATTAAAATTGATGGTGTATTATTTCCAAATTCATTTGTTGAAATTACAATTATAATAAATGACACATCAAAGCGTTTAATTTTCGGTTCTCTATACATACCATGTAATTAAAATTTTTCTATAATTTATAACAGAAACTTTTGTAAAAATTACGATGGAATAATATTAGGCAAAAAATATTGCCTGGGGTGATAATTTACACGGAAATACATTATTTAACTGGTTAAAAGATTTTTCTGCAGAATTTTTAAGAATTTCTGACAAAATTCCTTCATTTCCCAATAATTTATCTTACTTAGATCACTTTATAGCTCTAACTTGATAAACATTACAAATCCAAATTATAGAATAATAAATCTTTATCAACATTTTTTGATCATTTTCCTCTAAAATTAAAACTTGAGTTTATAAGTTTTGAGTTCATATTAAAAAAAACTCGTTTATTAACTTCGTTTAAAGACACAAATTGAAAAAATTTGAAAATGACATTGAAATAATATAAGACCATTTTTTATATGCCTATATAATACTACTCACCACCGCATCTTTGTGTTTCATACATGCCTCTGAAGCTCCATATAGAAGCATTTTGAATAAGTTCTCGAGCTATATCATTTCTGACCATTGATGTCCCGTTGCGTAACTTTCGAGATGCAAAAACATCATTCTGTTTACAACCTCGCAGATGGGACGACCTCTGTAGACCGATATACGAATCCATCAAATAAGCCAAAGACAATGTTCTTACTCATAGATAATATACTGTGGTACAGAGTAATCTGACAAGGAAAATTCAATAGTATCACATGTATAAGAACCTTACTTGCATCCAGCACCGGCACCTCCATCCCGTATCACATACATTTGACACCAACTCATGTCCCACAGCTACTTATTATAGACTTTACCTTACATCAGTATTTTAACCAAGAATCTCTTACCGTGAGTTTAGGTTTAAATCACAGCCTCCACTTGCATCCCGAAGGAACCACTAATCGGAACAAGACAAAGTCCGAAACTCTGCCCTGTGGGTTACCGGTTCCCGTGGTACTAGCTTATAAGTCTTCGTGGTTCGACCCCAGGTCAAATCATTCCAAGGAAAGGCCGAGGATACATTTAACACTACCAGTTTATAGTCCCGGCAGACTAGAGGTAGGACCTCCTTTCCCCGGGAAGACGGACAAGACAATATATTTTATAATCGGACTATGACTCCAAATTCTCTCTAGTGTAAAACGACTAGTGTATCTCATTCTTTTCAGCATTTTATACATATTAGAACGTTGATAACGCCAATACCTAAAAAGGAAGTGGCAAAGAACCCTGATAATTGCCGCCCAATGTTCAGCACTTTCCAATGTCATGTCAAATATTTAAGGTCCAACAAATTACTTAGCGAACGTCAGTATGTATGGACCACTACGAATCCAATTATCATTTTGGCGAAAGAAGAGTGGTGGATTTGAACTTCTTTCAAAAATAATTGCATTTGGTGTTGGCAATCATTTCTCTTGAGCTCTCTCAGAGATTGATCCACTCGAGTTGATTTAGGTGGAATTTCATCAAACGAGTTTAGTATAAATTCAAGGCTCTGTTCTTTCCGCTACTTTGATTCTTATTTTCATAAACGACCTTCATCAACATCTGCAATTCTTCAATCAATTATAGGTTAAGCCTTTTGGAAAATTTGGCAATGAGACAAAATTTTTCAAGTCTTCAAATACAATTTTGAAGCTATTCGAACGCGTACAGGAAAGGGCGAAGGAACTTATTGCTGACAGTAGGGTATTTAAGTCCAATTGAACAAGGAGAAAATATCTTCTAAAAAGGTTTCTCTTTTATAATTAAAGAACGAAAGTATTGAACAAGATCGACGAATGGACTACAAAAGAAACGGAGCTAAAGTGGTTCAATATTACCAAAGCAATTAATGGCAAAGCAAATTAACAAAAGCAATGGGGTGACCCTCACAAGAGCTGGACGAGAAGCTTCCTCAAAATGAGCAAGTCTAAGGTTAGTATGATGGTACGTATTCGTCCCGCACAAACTTTGATTGGACGTCTAGGAAACTGAGTTTCAGAACTTCAATGCAAAGGGAAGCATAAAGGACCCAATAGAGGCACGTCATGTAAATGACCCTCCACAATAGTACATTTTAATGATCAGGAGTGTCTTAAAGATGTGTTAGAAGTACACGATCAACGATCCACCAAAATGACCTGTTCTTTGTTCTTTTATAAGTATTAAAATGGAACAAATGGCCTTCGAGTGTTCTAGCTAATTTGCGGGCATTCCATCTAACTTAATCTATACTGTAATTGTTATATTTGATAAGGATCGAGATAATAAAAAGACATTATCTTGGTTAAAAATACACATTAAACCTATATTAGCCGATTTGCTAAATATATAAACGAAATTGTTCCTTTTGAAACAGTTTCTTTAAAATATTAATTAAATTTCTAATTTTAAATGATAAATAGAATTATTAATTTAAATTATAACATTCAATGTTAAAAAAAGAAGAGCAGCATTTGAACGTCAACAACAAAAATACTTAAAAAGTTATTTACAATAACAACAAAAGGATACAGTCAAGAAGTCAACAATGACAATGATTTAGATAATTTTATTTATTATGCCCAAGAGATTGTTCTACAAACAAAGAAGACAAAATATGTATGCAAGGATAACAAGAATTACAACACTTACATACATACATATGTATGTATATGAAAGGAAAACGAGTACTCTTTTATTTTATTTACTCTTTCAAGTGCGATGAGCCTCAACTCCCCATTGATTTCTAACCAAAAACATACATTACAACAATACAACACATACGTTTACAAGTTAAATATTCAACACGACATTGAAACTGAATCGAAAAGGAAAAGGAGGCGTTGGAATAAGGGATGAAGAATTTCTATTGTTGTTGTGACGATAATGAATGTGTTCTCTTTCTTAGTACTTTTACAAGTTTGTATTTATTTGGGCACAATAACAACAATATAAAGTCGAGCTCATACATACATATGTATATTTACACATGTAATAACAACAACATTATACAATACATATTTAAAAATCACAGATGTGTGATGTATTGACTTGTAATAGAATCTTTTTTATTGGACTCTTTATCTGTTGGCAAACTCTTGGATATTCTTATTTGAGTACAAGTATGGGGATATGTCACGTCTTTTTCTTTTTTTATTATTTAGCGGTTTACCTCTAATTTATTTTTCATTAATTTTGTGCATTTCTTGTTTGTCTTATAGACTCGATTAATATAAAATTTTAATTTTGAACCAAGTCTTCCATTAAGTACAACCATAGTTTGATATGCTAAATTCCTACGCCTTCAAGGCGTCAATTATCAGCATAAACTAGTGACTTCACGAGACCTGACAGGAAATAATCAAGAGGCGTACGTACGACCTTGGAGTTCAATTGACAGCTCCATTTCTCGAAATCAAGTTATCGCCAAATGTTGATTTCAATAAATCAATGGTTGCGGTATGGCAACTAGCGCTAACCCACATTTAGTAAGGTAGTTAGTTAGTAGTAGTTAGTTAGTTAGTTAGTTAGTTAGTTAGTTAGTTAGTTAGTTAGTTAGTTAGTTAGTTAGTTTAGTTAGTTAGTTAGTTAGTTAGTTAGTTAGTTAGTTAGTTAGTTAGTTAGTAGTTAGTTAGTTAGTTAGTTAGTTAGTTAGTTAGTTAGTTAGTTAGTTAGTTAGTTAGTTAGTTAGTTAGTTAGTTAGTTAGTTAGTTAGTTAGTTAGTTAGTTAGTAGTTAGTTAGTTAGTTAGTAGTTAGTTAGTTAGTTAGTTAGTTAGTTAGTTAGTTAGTTAGTTAGTTAGTTAGTTAGTTAGTTAGTTAGTTAGTTAGTTAGTTAGTTAGTTAGTTAGTTAGTTAGTTAGTTAGTTAGTTAGTTAGTTAGTTAGTTAGTTAGTTAGTTAGTTAGTTAGTTAGTTAGTTAGTTAGTTAGTTAGTTAGTTAGTTAGTTAGTTAGTTAGTTAGTTAGTTAGTTAGTTAGTTAGTTAGTTAGTTAGTTAGTTAGTTAGTTAGTTAGTTAGTTAGTTAGTTAGTTAGTTAGTTAGTTAGTTAGTTAGTTAGTTAGTTAGTTAGTTAGTTAGTTAGTTAGTTAGTTAGTTAGTTAGTTAGTTAGTTAGTTAGTTAGTTAGTTAGTTAGTTAGTTAGTTAGTTAGTTAGTTAGTTAGTTAGTTAGTTAGTTAGTTAGTTAGTT